CCCCAAAACCCCAAAACCCCAAAACCCCAAAACCCCAAAACCCCAAAACCCCTATCATTGATTGCTTTATTGAAAACTTAAGCGACCTCTTGTAGATTCTTGTTGGACTCCTCCACTTCGTTGACTAGTTGGTTAAGACTGTCTTCTGGGTTCCCATCCACTACTTGGCTTTCATCCATATTGAACAAATCCTCGTTGTAAGACTGATCCATTTGCGAATCATTTGTCTGATGTCTCAAACTACTCTTTGGAATCGGTAATGAGAAATTTCCATTATTCTGTCCACCATAGGAATTAAGTAAGTCATCCAGCACTTCGTTAGTGGATTCTTGCCGATTCTGACGACCTTCAGGATTAACGAAGACACTTTCATGATGAATATTTGGAGTTTCTCTTATGTTCTGCTGGATCCCAAATCTTTGTTCATAGGGAGTTTTGTAAGAACTCCCTGGGTATGGAGGTAAAGATTGACTAAAGCTATAGTCACCTCTAAAATTCCCTCTTGTACCACTTCTTAGGTTGTTCAAGAGAGACCTATTCTCATTAGCTAGTGTTGTATAGAAATCATTATTAGAAGTCCTCCTATCCTGATTCTTTTGCTCCATATCTTTCTGCAGTTTGAGTAAACTATCGAGAGTGCTTTTAAACTCTGCTTTCTGAATAATATAATTTTCTTTCATTGAATGAATTCTTTGATCAACTGCCCCTTCTCTTCTCCTCAAGTCTTCCTTTAGATTTCTAATATTAACATCATTGTTATATCCTTGGTCGATACGGCTTCTGACATCGTTATCATCCTCATCCTCCAGGCCTTTGAAGTCATTCATTCTATCATTACTATCATCCTTGGATGAGATTCTTGACTTAAAGTACTCTGAAGTCTTATTATGTTTTCTTCTCTTTGGGACAACATAATTGATAGAGGTTTCCTTTCCCACGCTATAGTTATTATACTTGTTGCTCTTATTGCCTGTGTCCCTCTCAAATTCCTCGCTCAGCTCCCTGAGATCCTTTTTGATTTTCTCCTCAAGCTTGAGGTCATGGATTAGTTTTTTCTTCTTGTCCTCCTCTTTGCGTTTATTTGAGCAGGTTTGCCTGCTCATCTAGCTCATGTTTCCATTCTTCCTGTAGCATCTCCTTGCGTTTCTTCTCTTGGTTGTTCCATGAGAGGAATTGCAGGCCGATCTCAGTCTCGTTAAGGTTCTGTATCTTTGACTTCCTCTCACTAACATCATCTGCGTTGGAAGCATCATCATCAAACTTTTGGTTGTAAAATGATTGGTGAAAAGATTTTGCAGCTGCATCATCCATGATCTTTAGTCTATGAGCCACAATGTGCCCTTTATGGTCTCTGAGAGGTGCTCCAGCACCCATCTTGCCAAAGGGATTTGATTGAATGTATTCATACAGATATTGATAATCCAAATTCTTCTTGGCTTCTTTTTCTTTTCTCTTGATTTCTTTCTTCAGTTCAATCTGTGCTTTCAACTCTGAAGCAAGAGCCTTCTTCTTACTCTCCTTTTGGAGAGGAGACTCATGCTCGTGAGGCAGAATGGAGATGAGTGTGCCGGTTGGAGAGTCCTCTCTTCTATTGAGACTTTCATTATCATCTTTGTACTTCTCTTGATGAACAGGATCTTCTACTTTTATCATTGAAAAACTCTCCTCTGGGTTTCTAAAACGAGAGCTACTAGAGTGATCATCTCTGTACTTAAAATAACTGTGCTTGTATCTTTGCTTATGAGCGTAATCATTCTTCAGATTTGACAAAGAAATTATATCATGATTGCTTTCATCAATTCGGACATGCTTTCTAGATCTAGATTTGCTTTTCTCGTTCTCTTTTATTTGATTGCGGACATACTCAGAGTACTCATCTCTGAGTCGCTTTCGCTTAGGTTCACTTTCGCTGAACCCGAGAATTGGGTTAAAGGAAGTTATGGTATCGTTTGAGCCGGATCTTGATGCTGGGCGATTTCTTGGTTTGCTCCCCCTCTGTTCTCTACTCCTTTTCCTACTACTATTTCTCTCCTTATTTGACATTAATACAATTTTATCTTGCTTGCCAGATGCCTAGAAGGAAAGCCGAATGGTGAATTTTTAAATCTAATTTCCAGAATTTCTTACTCTATTGATCGACCGTGACCTCTTCCTCTTAATCTTCATGATCCGCTTCTTAAGTTTTAAAATTTCCTCTAGGTCCTCTAGTCTAGAAGAAAGTTAGAAGGAAATATTAGGTAAAAGGAATTATTTGGGCCTACTCAGATGTATCAGATCCGCTGATGTCTTCCTCACTGCTCATTTTATTTATTCAATTAAATTACGAGTAAAAGGGGTTTTGGGGTTTTGGGGTTTTGGGGGTTTGGGG